GCTGCTCAGCCTCAGAGACCTCTCTGTTACAGGGTACAGTATTTATTTGCTATTGCACAACCTGCCATTAAGCCCATCTGAGGCAGAAGCAGCAGCAGGCCAGTGTTTCACAACATTTTAAACAATGCAGGTGCATGTGTGTGTCCTGTTTGCACCATTCACACACTGTATCACTGCTCTAGTAATGAGTCAGCCATTCAATAAGTGAAAGCTATGAAGTAGGACAACTGCAGGGAAAAAACAGAACACACATTTACACGTAATGAAACTTACTGAACAAGGAAACAACTGAAACATGAGAAATCACGGATTTTCAGTGCCCTGCATCACCACGGCCTTTGCCAGAAAGGCAAAATACTGAGTATTTTTCAGGAAATACTCAGTAGCCAACAAAAATATTCTAATTAGGATTTACTAAAGTATGATATGGCAACTAATATTTTGACTGCAATCTTTGCAGGAGCTACAAATGCCATACTAATTTCCTGAGTTCAGTGGAGGAAACCATAAGGCTGGAATATCTAAAATTAGGTGTGATGAAAGAGCTACCTTTTGTGAGCTCAGGCTGGAGGGGAGGTGGGAGGTGGCCAAGGCTACTTACTAAGTCCAGTGGAGGAACTGCATTTCTGTAACCTCAAACAAGTGAACTCTAATAGCTTCCTGTCTAAAGCCACGTCTAAAAGTAACTTCATGTTTGTTTTTGTTCAAAGTGAAGGCAACCTTGCAGAGATTGAATTCCTTATAAAGCAGATGTGCAAAGTCCTTTACAAGCTTTTAAACTAAATTCGACTCTTCTAGAAACATATGGCTCCATTTTTGTATTCGGAACAATATAGGAAAGATATAAATGCTTTTTCAACGTTTTTCTAATCTAAAAGCTGTGAGTGTCAACATTCATCATTGCTCAAGGAAAACTAAAAACTCTGAAAGTATGTTATGAGAGGGATTTATTTCAGCTGTTCATTTCCAAATGCCTTTAAGACAACAATGTACTGCAGCAAAGCTGACTGTTTCACTACTTCAATTTCAAAACACGAAACACATGAAAAAGCAAAATTGCTTCAGAAAAGAATTAAGGAATGTTCAGAAGTATATGTACAACTCAATAGTAGTTCTACTGCTGAAAAGTGCTCTAAGAGTTGTATGTGCACATGTGCAGTTCTTATTAAGGCATATGTCCAGATTATTGTGGAAGAAAATAGCATCCTATTTCAAGGCTTAGAAAGAAAGCCACTTCTAAATAGTGAACACACAGATGAAATACTGCAATATGAAGCAAGTTCAACAGCCAACATTTATTAAAGCTTTAGTGCTGAAATTGCCTGTGTTGTCAGAACACAACATTTGGCGTCAAGATGAGACATTTGCAAATGGCTTAATATATTGGATGTAATTCTGCTCCTATTGAAGTCAAGGAATGCAGCGGCTACAAAACAACTTCATTTTCTGCAAAACTGGTACACAGACCTGCCAAGGGACTGAGCCATGGCTATGGAAAGGTGCCCAACACAGTCCTGAAAGCTACAGTTTCTCTCTCTCTCTGATGCAGTGCTAGTGACTGAAGCATAAAGCAGGAGACAAAATGAAGCTGACAGGGTTTGCTCATGTAATTTCACATCTGTTAGGTGGGTGCCACTGGAATGCACCTGTAATATGGGGGTTTTTTTTGCTTTTAAAATAAAAAGGACTCCATAAACACCGCACTATAGAATTAATTGTACGTAAGTTCACATTCCAACAAAACTCAGACTGCTTGTAACACACTTAACTGGGGAAACAACTTTTGCAAACATGAAAAAGCATAATTTTCATCTTCAATTATCATTGGAAATAAATATGCAGAAAGAAAACCTCAGTGGACAATTTCTTTATTGCAATACAAAAACATGGAGATTATGTCCCAGTTCAGATGTACTGACTCCAGTAAGAACTTCTGAGCTCTTCTGACTTGAACAAAACACGTCGAGCTTGTAAGCATATCAGAGAATTTTGCAGCTGATTCCCTGACAATCTGAAAGCCCCATTTACTAGGGGTTGACCTACTCTTACTAAGCAAAAAGTGCAAACCCTCAAAAGTACATTTTCAATACTAGCTTTGTCCCTTCTTAGGTTTCTGGAGAATTCAGGAAAGCGTGTAGTAGTTTCAGGTTGTGTTTTCAGTTTTGTTTTTTTCAGTTTCACCTTCAGCCCCAGGAAACAGAAACTGAGCCTCTGCCAATTACAGCTCCTGACTCAATGCTATGAAGTTTACACTCATCCAGTCTGTTGTATTAAATTTAAATTAACAAAAACTGCTTAGAACAATAGGCAAGCAAACTATTCACTTGACACAAGCTTTGGTCTTCTGTGTGATATTTCACCATGTCTACAGAGCTTTTCCTGAAATTCTTTACCTCTTCCTTATTTGGTTTTTCAGAAGACTGTCTATTTTCAGCATCCACGGAAGGTTTACATAATTATTAGTTCAGTTACCATGTTAAAGTTACACCTAACCTCGGCCTAAGCTGTCTTCATATGAGTGCTTTTATAAGGTATGACCTACAGGAAAAAAATACAAATGCAAGTTTAAAACAACTCTCGCAACACTAAACAGCATTATAAAATCTTAATACAAACTGCTGACAAAAGAATTTATTTATGGCTGCCTTTGTATTTCAGCTTTAGAACAAGTCTACCATATGCAAAGCTAGTTCTCCAAACAGTAGTTTGGGATGAAGGATTATACAGATGTACATCTTTTGAAGATACTGCATTGAGGTGGGATGAGAAACAAACCTAAAAAGCATTCAGTTAACGACAACCTAATTTCTTCTAACTATAATTTAACAAAGTAAAATGCAGTCTTAACACCCCACAAAAGCACTTCGGCCCTTATTTCTTAGAGGGGCTTCATTTACACACCGCTTCAGACACAAGGGTTTATTTGTGTGGCTTATTATAAACCAGGAAAGTTCAAATCAGGGACAGCATCACCCACCAATAAACAAACTATTCAGATACTAGGGACATAAGATGTAGCATCCAAAATGACAAAATAGTCGATTTACATCAAATAAGAAACCAAGCCTCTGTTAATGGCTTCCTGTATTTTGTTATCCCACACTGGCTCTATATAAACCATCTGTGCTACACACACTTCAAGCCATCTTTCAACTATCAACAGGGCTTCTGCAGTAAAACAAACAATTACTAATAGATGTATCTTAGAGACAGATTTTAAATCAAAAAGCACAGTGCTCCAGCACTGTATTAATGAAAGATCAGAACAAATCAATAGAGAATTTTTCCTGAACATCCGTTAGTAACAGAATACAGAGATGAAAGACGGGGGGAGCAACATTTGCTATCACACTCCCTCAGACAAGACAACACACACGGAGTCTGGATTGAAAAAGTACTCATTCTGAAAGAATTTTGTGACTTTTTCTTTTTTAACCAAAATCGTGCAAGCCAAAGGAAAAAACACAAAAAGCTATTGTCATTTGCAGTAGCAAAAAAGTATAATAAGGCATATTGGAAACAAGTTACCAATGAAACTTAATCTGCTCTGCCAACTGGGGGGTATTAGGAGTTACACAACTTCTCACAGGACTTGGCAAATACACCCCTCAGCTATTGAAACAGGTAAAAAGTATCACACTTGTCAGGAAATATAAGCAGAGAAGTTGCAACAACTGCGAGCCATAGCCTGCTAGATTCACAAGACCTTCTAGACCATTTCTCATAGGTAACTTCTGTTCAGAGAAGACTGGAACATTAGCAAATGAGAGTTCCTCACACAAAAAAAATCCCACTTCTTAAGTGCAGGTTATTTATAGGAAGAGTATTTAATAAGGCAGTCTACAGATCAGTTGTATATCCTGTGGTGAACCTACAATTATTGTCATTCAGGTTAAGGTATGCACCGGATGCAAGGAACCAGGAAGAGATCCACAATGCAGGGATCTGAGCTGTGTAAGGGGCAGAAGAAATACCCTCTGTTCATTTAAAGCACGCTTCCCACTAGTGTACCCGCTCTGAGGTATCTCTGGCCTCCTTTCCAGCCCAGCATCCCTGCTCTCAACCAAAGCAGGAACCACAAATGACAGTCAGCTCCCTCTCTCTGATTCACAGCACTGCTTGGTCATACCATAAGGAAACCTGGTTTTTAAAGTGGAAAATAACTGCAAACAGGACATTATGAAATTTGGACTATTACTGCACATTCAAAGACAGTGCAGTTCTTAGGGAGACAGCGAGCACATGTCCCTGGCATCCCATAATTAACCTGTGACACCCAAGTGACAGCAGGGCTTGTTCTGCTGAGTGTCACCGCTCCCCACAACAAAGAAGCGGGGCTGGGGCTGCGGGGTCTCTGCAGCTTCACAGCCTCAGTGACACGGCAGGACCCGCAGGCAAATGCAGCCCGTTCATGTGTAACTTCATCGCAGCTACTGAAATGAGGCAACGAGAGCCCATCTCCGCTCCAAGGGCTGCAACACCCTGAGAAAAGCAGGAATTACAGCCACTCACAGGGCCTCGCTCGGGGGGGGCAGGAGACAGCCCGAGCCCCGCACCGGCCGCGCCCGCAGAGCCCCAGCGGTGCCTCCCGGGGCTGTGCCCGGCTGCCCACGGGAACCCCGCGCACACGGCGGGGGCGAACGAACCCAACGATCCCCGTCTCCAGGCGGCGGCGGCGGCACCGCCGCATCCCACCGAGGGGTTCCCGGGCGCTCCAACCCGCTCCCGGGAGTGGTGGCCCCGCCGCCGCCTCCCGCACCGCTCCCCACCGCCCGCAGCCCGCCCCGCACTGCCCCGGCGCCCCCCCCGCCTCCGCCACCCCCGGCCCCGCTGCTGCGGGCTCAGCGCAGGCCCCCTCCCGGCCCCGCTGCCCCCGCGCCCCGACCCGGCCCCGCACACCCCGGGGACACCCCAGCGCCCCCCGTTACCGGCTCCCCCCGCTCCCTCCCCCCGCGCTCGCCGCTCCCGCCGCCCCCCGCGGCCCGGCCTGCCCCGCTCACCGTGTGCGAGTGCAGGCTCTGGCTCGCCTCGATCTGCGCTGTCAGCGGCACCGTGTCGTCCAGCAGCACCTTGCCGGCCGGCGGCTTCTCCATGAAGGCCATAGCGGAGTGGGGAGCGGGAGAACCGGCGCCGCCAACCCGCTTCCCGGGGCAGTTCCCGGCGCGGCCGCCGCTGTCAACACGGCAGCGCCGCCGCCGCCGCGGGGCCTTAGCGCCGCCGCACGCCGCTGCCGCCGCACGCCGCCAGGGGGCGCCGCGCCCCCTCCGGGGTGCCACGGGTTCGAATCCCGGTCCCGCGCCAGGAGTCGGCGGGATGGGGGGACACGGGGAGGTTCGTCCCCGGGAGCAATAACGGGGGAAGGAGGGGGGGTCAGAGCGCAGGTGGCCGCCCCGCCGCCCAAGCCTTCCACGCCCGGTGCTCCGGTGGCACCGACGGCGTGTAAGGCATCAACCCTGAGACACTGCTGGTCCTGCCAGAGAGGACAACAGAAAAGGGCTGGTGCGCTTGCTGCTCTTTACCTTTTGGGGCGGTTTTTTGTGGTTAAAAGATCATAAAATAATCAAATAGCATCCAGTAACTCCTACTCAATTTCTAGATTTTAGTGTTTGGGTTTGTTTTTTTTCAGAAGACATTTAAAGTTGTTCAATTGAATTCCACAACCTGGCTTTCATTGCAGAAGTGTAAAAAACTTTCTATTGGGAACCCACAAGTTGGACACTTGTCTGCATTTCCTTTTGTCTATTTACACCATACACAAGAATTACTTTCACTTAAGATGTTGTAAGTAAGACCACAGAGATGGAGTTTTTTGTACACCTGTCTTGCAGCTCCCTGTGGAGAGGAAAATGGGCTGTGTGGTGTGGTTCATTAGCTGAATCTCAGGCTGAAACAGCAATCCTGACTCCCCAAACTACTCCTTGTGCCATGATCCAGGAGGTCAGGCACAGATTTGATTCATTTTTTTAACAGATATTAACATGTCAACTTCCCACCTGGAGAGGAATAAGAAACAGAGAAAGGAGTATGCCTGCTTTCGGAAAGTGTTTTACACAGCACAAGCCAGTGACAGACAGTGACCCGAGGCAGAAGGAAAGGAAACGGGAAGTGAAGCAGCTCCTACAAACAAGAGATAAGGAAAGCTCTCCCTAACTACTGCTTCCAGGTTGTGAACAGGCCGAACACCAGGCTTTGGAAACAGAGGGCATGGAGTCAAACACCTTAAACATTACCCCTCCCTCTGCTCCAGTGTGACTAACACCTGGGGTTAGAGTGCAGCACACTCAGGCAGTGCAACTGTTTTACCAGTAATTTTCATTACGGGTTGAGGACAAACTCTCTTTTCACAGCAAACAACTTCTGAGGTTATTTGCAGTCAAGGAAAGTTTCAAATGCATTTCTGCTGCACAGAAGATAGAAGGGATAACAGATGCTTTGCCAGAAAATTATAAGCCACCAACTGAAGGCCTTCTTCCTGATGGCATTGATCATTCCTGAAAGAAGTCTCTTAGTGTATAATGATCCTATGCTGGTAACAAATTTACCAAAAGCCTACTTTAACAAGGTGCTTTCAGTGGGCAAGGAGGAATACATGTTCAAACAGACAAGCAAGCAGAGAAAAGCCATACAGTTAGTACTCAACTCATATGTCCCTGATTGTCTTGCCCTCAGGAGCACAAGCACAGTAAGTACAAGTTGTAACAATATTTTTTTTTAAAGGCTCCTTCACTCTGCTTCTGGGAAGCAAGTTTCAGAGGAAACACCCACAGGAGCCATGCGGATTACAACACATCCTGCAGTACACGTGTGTCAGCACCTCCACTTCTGTCCTACTTGTTAAACGCAGCATTGCCCCCTCCCCTGGAGCTTGTTGGCAATACAGCTGCTTTGTACAAAAGGAACAAGTTTTAACTGATCTTTGCTGGTGTGGACTGTGATTTTGCCAGAAAGAACAGCCTCAGCCACTCCAGAATTCCCACTGTGGCAGAGCAATGGCTTGTCTAAGCCACTTTTCCTCTTTGTCACAGTAAGTACATAGTTCTGCTGGTTTCACCTTGACAATACATAGAGGAAAATGAAAAGTTTTAAGTTTAATGCAGCTCTATCAGGATTAAGCTTGTACACTGTCTTTCAAGCATTTTTTGTTGCACATTTACTGGAGTGAGTGATGTCACATAAAAAGACAAAATCAAAACCAAGCATTTCTGGCCTTTACAGTAAAGTAGCACAGGCTGAACAGCTCTAACTGTCCGGCACCATGACTTTCACCATCCCTTCCATAACAGTCTTCCCACTTTCTCTGACCTGACATGATACTGAAATGTGTGCAATAGAACCCTTCAGCCGTTTCACTTCTGCTGCAGCTGTGACTTCTTCACCAATATACAAAGGAGCTGGAAACCGGATCTCCTGGGAGAGAAATATACACCCTTGACCAGGCATTTTAGTACCTAGAACTGCAGAAATAAGTCCATTGATCAGAACTCCATGTACAACAGTTCTCCCAAACCTAGACTTCTTTGCAAACTCTTCATTTAAATGCAAAGGATTTGTGTCACCTGTTATGTAGGAAAAGGTAACAACATCATTCTGTGTAAAAGCTTTGGTAAGTTCAGCTTTGTCTCCAACTTTTATGTGTAAACTTTGAAGTACTGGATGTCCAAGCAGTGAGTTGATAAACGTTAGCTTTGTCGAGGCTCTTCGTCGGAACATTCCTCCAGAAATTCCTCGCCTGAAGGGCTGCAACATCTCCAGAAACTTCTGCTTCGTACAACCAAACCAACAACCGCATTCAGTCTAGGACTAGTTCTCTACTGTTGCCAGACAACGCGAGAAGAAATGGAGATGTCTGTTTTGGGGAAAGAAAAAACAAACAAGAACAAACTAAAGCCTTGAAAAAAAATCACCAACAAATGCACTCAAATGTGAAAATACCTAAATTTTCCTTTTACATGAAAGATTAGAAACTTAGAACTATGCCCTAGCAGATTTTTGTCCAGCCATGGCTTCAGAGACAAAGAATTCTTGGAACTCCTTTTATTAAGCAGCATCCTCTAGAAAAAAATAAGCTCTGGAAGTGCACGTTTGTAAGGTCTGTCAACAGTGATTATTAGAAAGGAAAGAAATGGGGCAGAGGAAATAAAAGACAGGACCAAGATGTGGGCCATAAACAAAACCTGCCAGAAATTATTTTCTTGCAGGTGCATTAATGACATCAGGACTTGTCACTGGACTGAAACCATAAAGTAATGAGACAGTTTCTACCATCACATTTTACAAGATTCATTATAAGGTGAGAACTGCTCAAACACAGGCCCACACACCTGCACTTAAAAGCATTTCACTCCCAAATCAAGGCATTTTTGCATCTAGGCCACCTCTCTCTGAAAAGACAGCATGCTCAGACAGACAGCCAAGTTTAGAGCCAGAACTGACAGCTGGGGGAAGCACCAAGCCCTGAAAGGCTTTACCTGCAGCACCCGGAAGGCACACCTCCTGTTCTGGTAGAAGCCCAGCAAGGTTAGAGCACTCCACAGCTTGACAAGGCCACTTAGTAAAAAGAAAATAAAATATACTAATAAAATTTTGTTTTATCAGTTTTCCTGCAACATAAACATCTTAAATAAAAATACTGTTACACTAAGAATAATGACACCTTAATTGAGTTTAACAGCCAGTAAATTCACCAATAAGTTCCAGTAGCAACACTATGTCCTGAAGGGGTATTGCAGTGGCTGCAGTCTCCTGTCTTTCACACACAGATATGTAATGTAACCTCTTCAAGTTCACTTTACCAGTTCTTGTTCTCTCTGTGCATTTAAGCTCCTTCTTCCCCTAAATCACCTGCAGTCGTCTTCACTATTTACAGTAACCATTCTGAGCTTTTACTATAGAAAGAGATCTAAAGCCACACATTTCAACGGTGCTTAGTTCCTGTCTTAAACCATTTAAACCATTCAGGTTTAAAGCGGGAATAACATTGATGCATGAAGTTACCAAGCCTTAATAATTACTTTCTGCATGCTGATTGTAAATATCTGCAAGTTAGGCTTAATTCTTCAAAGACTATTCTTAGCTTAGAAGTTCTGGTTTTCTTACAAAAAATACTTTCATGGCAGTATCAGAAGCGTGTACCGACCGCACCTTACCTGCTAATAACTCTTAATATGGCAGACAGAGTTTTTTCCTCATATGTTAAGACATCAACAGGCAAAGCTGCTCCAACCTATCAAAAAAATGGTATTTAATAAGTGCCATCCTATTCTCTTATAGTGGTTTATAAGCAAGCGATTTCACTCCCAGCATGTGACATCGTGTTATAGTGACACTCAAATCTCAAAGGAGTGTTTCAGCTACAAACAAACAGCACCTTTTCTCTCAGAGTTCTTTAGCTAGAAGCCACTTATTTCCAAATTACAGTTGGAGAAACACGGACCCACAGGTGATAAAGTTACCCAGCAATACTGTAAACAGAGCAAGAACAGTACTGTGGATTTCCCATCCACAAAGCTTTTCCCTTCATATAGTTCCCATTCTAAAGCCTCGCTATAGCAAAAGCATCAATACTTCAAATTCTAAAAACCAGATATCAAAGAACGGTTTTAGTTGGAAGGGACCTTAAAGATCATCTCGTTCCAACCCCCTGCCATGGGCAGGGACACCTTCCACTAGACCAAGGTGTCCAAAGCCCCCATCCAGCCTGGCCTTGAGAACTTCCAGGGATGACTGGAGCCACTTCACCATGGACACTAAACTGAGATGTGCAGCCCAGCACCAGGGGGAGCAATTTTAACGTGGGCTGGGGAGCAGGTACCCGGTTACAGGAGCGGCAAACCGAGGACACTTCTCCCTCCTCGCCTGCCCCTCGGCCCGTCCCCTCCGACTCGGCTCGGTCACTGCTCTGCTGTGCCGGGGGACAACGGGCAGGCAACCGGTCGCTCCCCCACGGCTCTCCCGGCCCGGAGAGACGGACCCCGACCCCAATCCCGATCCTGATCCTGATCCCAGTCCCACCTCTCCGTGCAGCTCCCTCAGCGCCGACACCACCAGCTGCTTGAACTGCGCGGCGTTCGGCCGGGCCCCGCCGTCGGGCAGCTCCCTACGGGAAACAGAGCAGAG